GGGAAGGGAGAGGGAGTGTGGAGGGGGTGGAAGGGAGCAAGAGAAGGTTTAGCAGAGAGAGAGAGAGGACAGGGAAAGGCATGAAGGACGAGACTAGCAGGTAATTTCGATCCCAATGCAGTGGCAGCTTTCATGTATGGAGAAAAGTTGAGTCCCATAATAAATTTGGCCCCATAACAAAGCTTGGGCCCCGTAATAAAGTTGGGCCCCATAATTTTGTTAGGCCCATAATAAAGGTGGTCCCCATAATAATACATGTGGTTAACACAATTTTAACAGGGGGTGTTATTTTCGGCAAATTTTTCATTGGAACTGTCATCTTGGATGGGTCTTAAAGTTGGGCCCATAATAAAAAGGCTGGACCCCATAATAAAAAAGTTTTGGGCAAGCGATCGTACATTGCCTGGTTGAGGCATCGCTGCCCAATGAACCCGTAGAGTCGATTGTAGGCCTCGTTGTCAGACACCTGTCACAGAAAAGGAGAAGATCAAGGATTGCGTATCAGCACCAAACTGAGCGTTTCGTTTCATTTCAGCGATTTGGATTGCAGCTTGAAGTCTTGGAGAGGAAGAGACAAACAAACAAGCACGACAAAGTTAAGTGTTTTTTTTATTTATTTATTTATTTATTTATTTTTTTTTTTTTTTTTTGTCCCCTGCGATGGTGTGACCACAATTACGTTGTATTTAAAAATAAATAAATAAATAAATGAATAAATAAATGAATAAATAAATAAATAAATTACGTTGTATTTTCTCTATTTTTCATAGAATTTCAAGAATTTGTGCAGATTCTGAAGTGGTTAACGAGGACCCCCATTTTTCAGAGAATCGGCGACAAATTGGTTGACGGGCTCAGAACTTAGGGTTTGGGGGTCAAATTTAAAAATTTTAATTTTATGTTTTTTGTGAGGATCAGTGTCCTCGGTAGGCCTACTAGGCCCTGTCTGCAGCCTTACCCGCCCTAAGTGAAGGCGGAGGTGCCCGCCCTAAGTGAAGGCGGGCCTGGCTTTTTGCAAGAGGCCCTCGACTGTCAATTTCATATTTGGGGTCCAGTCAGTTGTGACGCGCCAGTTGGTTGAAAGAAACACAGGCCGAGTACTGAAGACATTTCCACGGCCTACCGGGCCTTTCCAGAGAATGCAGGCCCTGGGCGTGATTCGCAGCCTCATACAGAGACAGTTGGGCGCCCAACCGAACGAGGCCCAGTAGCTGCTGCATCCAGACAGCATCCTGGGGGCTTCCTGAAGCTGCTGGGCCCAGGCCAGCCCAGCCAGGCTGCGAGAGCTGGCCAGCTCTTTTCCATAAAGGAAAGAGCTCTGGCCAGGCAGCCTCATTCAGGCACTCGCATGCTGGCGGCAGCGCTGCTAGAGCAGATGCTCGTGGGCTGCTGCTAGCACTGGGAGGCGAGGTGCAGCACGTGCGGTCGTGCAGAGGAGGAGGGCGCTCCTAAGGGCAGCGCCATAGCCCAGCCACCATAGCTGGTGGGCTTGGATTACAGTGAAGCGCAGGGGTGGTCTTCGGGTGTCAGAGAGGACAGGTGTGGGTGAAGTCAGGGGATAGGTGAAGGATGATGATGATGATGATGATGTGAGGGCACGTACCTTGTATTGGCGATGGTCTGCATGGGCGGCATCTTCAAGTACTTCGGGCTGCTGCTGATGTCAACAGTTGCATTGTCTTTTTGTAGTCTGTAGTAGCTGTGTAGAAGTAGGCTGGGCGCTGAGCGCCAAGTGTGAGTGTAAGGGAACTGGATACTTGTTTTGAAGAGGAGAGAGTGTGCTCTCCATAAACATTGGTTTTCAGTGCTACGAAACTCCATTGGTGCATTATTGGTGCAATGCTGCTATCTGGACACGGTGTGACTATTTGACTTGCAATGTGATGGTGTGATCTGGGATTGTCATCTCGCTGTTGCTTATTTTCCTTGCATTTTGAACTTTTTTCAATTTCTTTTTTTTTTGCCTGTTTTCATTTTGGTTCAAGGTTGTTGTGTGCCAAAAAAAAAAACAGAAAAAAAAAAGAAGGAAATTCCACTGCTGAGATTTCTCCAGTCTATCAATTGGTGGTACGTTTGGTTAAAAAGACCCTTCAACTCTTGGGTTTTGTTATGCGAGGCATAAGGCCCCAACGAGCCCCTTTTGGCCCTACCGGAAGCTTCTGGGCAGGGGCCCAGCGCAGGCAGGCCACACGCAGCAGGCAGGCCACTTCAATTTAGGAAAGTGCCTGCCCTCGGATTCGGCATTCGGGCACTGGCTGCATGCTGCGCAAGCGCTGGCCAGGCCCACGCGCTCACGGACGAGCAGGGAGAGCAGGCAGCCATAGCCAAGCTGCGCTGCGCTGAGCTGGATGGGGCGCATGGTGGTCCTTGGGTGCATGTGGCATCTGTGAGTGGGGGATCGAGGTTGTGAGTGATTCGAGAGACGTACGTGGTGCTTGAGGCAAACAGCATTGGCCGAGATCTGCTTGTACTTCGGGGAGCTGTTGACGTCACCAGCGGCATTGTAGATAGGCTAGATAGGATCTGCCATTTGTAGTCTGGGCGCAGAGCGCCAGATAGGATGTCGACATTGGTTCATTGTTGATGATGATGAGACTATTCCAGCATTGTCACTTGTGAGCTTTTGCTGTGCGCTTATTTGGTGGAACTCGTGTTGCAATTCTGCTTTTTGGTTCGAGGTTACGACTATCTGGTCTCATGTGTATGATGCTGCTTGGTTTCTGAAGTTCGCTATCGCTCATTTTCCTTGCAGTTATAAATTTGCATGACAAATTGTCTGAAATTTTAGGCTACCAGCCGGGCCGCCCGGGTCCCGGGTGGCCAGCCCGTGCAAGGAGGTCCCAGCAAAAAAAAAAAACAAACAAATCCAAAAAATCCGAAAACAAACTATGTTATGCAGAAAAATAAACTGAACAACTTTTGCCTCAGGGTCACATCGAAATTTTTCACCAAAATTAAAATAAAAATTAAAAATTAAATTTTTTATTTTTATTTTTATTTTTTTGGCCCGGCCGGGCAAGTGACCCCGGGCCACTCTGGTAGCCTAGGCTACTACTGTTTCTTTTTTTTTTTTTTTTTTAGTCTGACTTTGTACCACTGTTGTTTTTTGTTTTTTGTTTTTTACTTCATTTGTTGTTTTCATTGGTTGATCTTCTGAAGATGAGCGATGCACATGTCCAAGGAGTGCCAGTGTGATGAACGGGACAAAGAACACAGCGATATAATGCAATGTACCGCAGCAGAAGTCTCAAAACGGTACTGGTCGGTCCTGTAGCCTATAGCCGGGTAGGGAGAGGCCGTAGAGACCGAAACTGAAACGGTACCGGTCTGTCCTGTAGGGTCTATTAATAAGAATTAGGAAGACTTACTAGTCTGTTGTGGGGCTTTTGGCAGTCGGTACTTTGTACATCGCAGCTGCACGACACGTGAACTGGAGTGGTGACAGCTTCAGCATTGGAGACGACAGACATAGCCAGACCCTCTAAGCGTCGGCCATAGCTGGGTCCTTCGCTGTTCTTTGGCAGCACGTGGGGCTGCTCAGAGGTCTGGCCTACCTGTGGTCTGCTGGGAGCATGAGAAGTTGGTGCCCTTTCGAACCCTCCTCAGGAGTAGGGTTCAGGGTAGTGGCGATGCAGCCATAGCTGCAGCTTACATCCTCAGAGATCTGCTTTGTCAGGAAAGGTGGCGCTGCTGCAGATCTTCATCAGGGAAGCCACCTGACACTTCATCTTCAGCAGAGACTGTGGCGCTGGTCTTCTTCTTCATCCTCTGAGAGGCGCTGGGCCTCAGAGGCCTGTTTCAGGGTGGTGCCTCCCTCTGAAGGCAGTATATGTGTTGCGCTGGTTGTTTCCTGGGCTCTGGGGTAGTTGATAGGGGTTACCCAGCGTTGGGAGAGAAGTGCTGCTCCTGTCAGAGAAGCACACCACGGTCCTGTGACTACTCTGGCAAAACAATTCTCTGAGTTTAATAAACGGCGTTGATACTGCGGGTGAACATCCCTGCTTCATTGTTACCTGGATGTGATCTACTCGGTTCTTCCTTGTGGCTGGTTGTGAGGATTCAGTGGACCGAATCGCATTTTCAGTGTATTCTGTCATTATATCGCATGGACAAGGCTTCCGCTGTGTTTCTTTCTCTCTGTGTGGTGTGATATTCCTATCCTCTCCCCTTCCTTCTGCGAATGTATGGGCATGCATGGGAGTCTATGTGAGTGAGCGTTGGTCGTCAGACAACAAGCAACCAGGTCCATAACATACCGCTGGGCCTGGCTGAGCAGTCCTGTCTGCAATCAGGGCCGTCGGATCTGATGTCCAATTGATGGTCCTGATCGCGTGGTCCTACGAACCTGGTCAAGAACGGCCTGCCTGGGCCCCTCTGCGAGCCGTCCCGGCAACCCTGCTGATGCGGCAGGGTCCTGAGGACTGGGCCAGGCACAAACCGACGAATGCCTGGTCCAGTCCCAGATACAGACAGATCTGAACCTGGCCTACAACGGCCGAAACTGAGATCCACTGGTCCGAAATAGGCATCTGCCTGTTCGGACAAAAAGAAAAGTCCGGACCGACACATCTGAAACAGACAAAAAAATACTCCTGACAAAATCCAGCCCAAAACTCACTCAGCAAAAACGAATGACAAATGCTGAAAAAGAAATCGGATGCGGGGCCCGGAAGCAGACATGACGTGGGAACAACCGGAGGGGCCGACCAGATATCTGGGCATCATGGTCTCCAAACTGGGCCCAGCACCGCAAATGGCACAGAGTCTGTTAACCAAACAAATTAACAGAATGGGGCGATGGGGGGACACATACACCTCCCTCCTAGGAAGAGCTTTGGCACTCAACACGTCCATCTTCTCAATGATGTGGTACATTGCTTCTATTTGGACCATACCTGATCATACCATCAAAGAACTCAACAGCAAAGCACGAGCCTATCTCTGGTCAGGTGACCCAAACAAAACCAGATGCATCCCCAAGGTAGCATGGCACTTCATAACAAGGAAATCCTCCAAAGGAGGGTTAGGGATAATCGACCCCAAACAAGAAACAAAGGTCCTACAGATAAAGTGGATAACTAAATTGCTGACCCAATTAAGACTGGCATGGCACAATCTAGCCTTAGACAGCATAAGAGCTATATCCCCAATCCAAACCCCGACTGACATGTCAGGTCTTTTTTGGTTCATGAATAAAGATTGGTCCCCAAAAGCAGGCAGCAGAAGAAGGCGAACAAATGCACAACAAAATGACGACAAGCCCCCAACTCCCTACTGGTCGGCCCTGATTCACATATGGAGAAACATCATTATACCGGAAAGAGGTAAAAAAACCCAAATCCAAAGAAGAAGTGATACGACAACCTCTCTTTGGGAACCAGTACATAAGGGATGAAGGAGACCTTCCTCTTTCCTTATCCAACGGTCAGCGGTGGCTTTCGCGGATCAAGCATGGAATCTTGAGGG